ACTCTTTCATACTCGATGGAGTTTAAAAAAAGCTATCTCCCCCCACCCTACTTAAACTGTTTTCATTATCGCTACAATTTTGGATGTGTCAATTCAAATGTAAATGTGCACAAACGCTTCCAAGAGGATTTTAATTACGATGATAGCATCGCTAATTATGGATATAAAAAAATATATATATAAAGTGGTAATTCAGGAAGGTGCTTTGCAGAACCTGGTGGTATCAGTCAAAGCAAGGCTGTGCAGAGAGTTAAATGGCTGGGCAGGGATTTGACAAAACACAGCAGGTCCCATTTCCCCTTCAGGCCAGGAGGTGACAGGCAGACTTCAGCCACACGCGACTAATTCAACATGGGCATTGCTGCCCAAGCTGTTATCAAGCTCACGTGCTCTGCCAGAGGCCTGGCAGCAGGGAATCATTCCAGCTGTATCACAGCTCCTCCCAGGCAGTTTTGGTCCTCTAACAATCACTGCAATAAGCCCATTTTGCTGGAGGACTTGCTCCCTTTCTGTCCTGCACCCTCATTCCCGTGGGTGCATCACTGCCAAGTGAATCAGCATCCCCAACCGTGCCATGGGACTCCATACATGTGCAGAAACAGGACTGCCTTAAGGAGGATCAGCCCTCCATGCTCAGTCTCCAGAAAGCCAATGCAAGATGCAAAGTCAAGAAAGGCAATGCAGCACATGGAGGAGTGAATAAGGAAGGGAAATTCTTGCCCTCAAAAGTGAATGTGAGCTTGACTGAATTTGCTTCTACCCTTGGCTTGCAGGAACAATAAAACCATCCACACCTGCTTTAATTCCATTGCCCTCAGAAGATATTGCAAAGGAAAACATCCACAGAATACTGGAAGAACAAATGGTTTTCAATAGATGCTTCTGCAAACAGCTGGGACAAGTGGTATCTCCAATAGGCCAGTTCTGGTCTATAGCAGATGAGTTCCATCTTACTTCAGGAAAAAGAGATGCACTTATGACACAGGGGTGTCTGCTGGTCCTCAGGGATGTTCTCCTTGCCTGGAGGAACATCTAGGCTCTGTCAGGTCCCAGCCATGTGAGAACACAGTACTTTCATCCCAGCGCCCCTCTGGCAGCTCAGAGACCCTCAAACCGCTGCATGTACACATCATGCTCAGCAGCTCAAGTGCTGCCATATGCACCGTTTTGATTCTGGATGACTGGGACACAAGCAGCAGGCAGAATCCATTAATCACCTCCACTCCCCAGAAATAAGACAGTGTCAGAGAAACGTGTTCCTCATTGCTATGCAGCACAGCCTTCCCAGTGGAGATTTTTTTGAAGGAAAGAGGAAGCAGCAAAGAACACTTCTGAATGGCTAAGGCTGGGATTCCCAAAGGGATCTATGGGCATCAAGCATTCAACTCCAACTGAAAGATTGATGTAAACAATAGCTTGTTACTTTCGTCTTCATTTTGACCCAGGCATACTGATGATTTAATCACAACTGAAGCCAGCAGAGATTCTGTCCACATGGCAAAAGGGGGAAGATGACTGCCACATGTCACTAAACTTACCCTAACTAAAATCAAGCCTACAGGGATAAATAACAACAAGGAAGATGGAGGGATGGGAGCTTTAGCATTTATGAACAATGCTGCACACTTCAGCTGTTAGCTAGTATATGTGAACATCCAACCCCACCATCTTGGCTTGACATCCTGGTGGGCCACAAGACTCACATGATCACTCAGTGCATGGCAGAGGCAAAAGGGGACAATTATAGTCCTAGGCTCTTGTACCACCCAGATGACACTTATTAACTCTAGCCAACATCATTTAGTCCATCCAGGTTTCCAAATGACCTCCCTTTCTCACTTCAGTGCCTGACAGCCTCTCACTAACAGGGTTGAGAGCTTCATAAATATCATGCCCAAATAGCTTGAGCAGTGGTTCAGAAAATTACAGACAGCGATCAGAGCGCTGATGTGGAGGGAATCACCTAGCTTGGAAACACCACATCTCATCGCACCTGCTGGGGAGGGGGCACTCTGGACCAGCATCAAACACTCAACCACCAGAGCTGGCCAAGTTTAGGGGCCTGAGCATGGCCTGACAAGTTGGGAGGTGTTGTCAGAGCTCTGTGGCCTGGGACAAGCCTAATTTAAGCATGTGCTTCATTGGCATGGGCTAAAGAAGAACCTTGCTCAGTCAGGCTGTGCACCAAGAAGGGTAGTATTGGCTTGTTACTGCTAACACAACCCAAAGTGCTTCGGTGGGTTCCTGAAGCTCCCTACCTGGATCCCAGGAAATAAAATGGGGCTAATATCTACTTACCATTCAGAAGTTAGACAGAAACGAGAATATCTGATCCCAAAGAGCAGACATCCATCTGCACTCATTGATAGCAAATATAACCTTCAGCAAAGAGCATGGCCAAATGGGTTTGGTCCAGAGCAGATGGCAATAAAAGACAGATCCAGATCACAGAAACAGACGGCAACAAGGAACTGGTTGTGAACACAAGCCCTTAAAAGAAACCTGGTCATTTAGTGCATGCCATGTAATATCAAGGCACCTGAACCAGCTTCAGGCACTCACCAGCCATCAGCCAGTGGCCTAAGAGCATCGCAGCCTTACATAGACTCTTAGGGAAGATCTGATCAAAGTCACTTTTCAGGCATTTATTCTGATACAGCCTCAACTTCCTTGCCCAGCCTGACATGCCTCAAGGCTTCTGCTAATTCTCAATGCTTCCCTGCCTTCCCCCAAAATAAAAGCAGAGCATGTGGGAAGACAGAGGGGATGTATGATTTGATGCCTGACTGCGTGTCCACACTGTGACCCTTCCAACTTTCTCCTGGTCAGGGCATCGGCACCACTGCAAACAGGAAAGGAGACAGACCTGAACCGACCTTAAAGAGAATCAAAAAGATAAAGATGAAGCTTAGGGCTGGGAGGTAAGACAAGGCTGATTTTTTAGTTAGTCTAAGAGGGAAAGTTCTATCCATTTTCATTAGGGAAGCACTTTGGACATATCTCAGGTTTCACAGAGAGGGTGAGCTCTGAAGGTTACCGTACCCTCACACATTGGTGGCACATAACACTTACTGGGCAGGTTAATATTCTTCTCTGTCCGGTGATCGTGGCTTCTCATTATTTTTATATGAAATAGGAAAAATAAATTATACAGTGGGGGGTTAGAAAAAAATATGGCACGAACAAAAAAAAAGAGAAATAAAGTCAATTTTAGTCCCACACCCATCTCCCTGAAGAACATAGAAAATATCTTGACCTGCTTCACTCTCCATTTTGGGACCTCCATCCAGAATTCAGAACATCTGGATGATTCAGTGTATCAAATTATTAGCAATATCCAGGGAGCTGAAATGGCCTCTGCCTGCCCTACCCACATCCACACTGCTGCTCAAAAGCTAAAGGCCAGCAGCATCCATGTACACCTCATCTTACCTGAACATGAACTTCACAAGTGCCCCCCCACAGATAATTCCCTCCTATGTAAAACCTAAGCAATGCTAAGTTTCCACAACTAGTAGGAAAAAAAAAACATTCAGCATCTCAAATACCTGCACAAATGCTTTCACTACATTCAAAAACTGATTTAGCAGAGCACCCAGGTTTCACAGTTGTTTGCAGTGGTCAGAAATAGCTGCACTGGGTTGATGTTCAAGACCACAAGGAAAAGCACAAAATAAATTGATGGGAACAAGGGAAAATCCTTCTGTAATCACAGCACAAATTCACTGACTTCACTGTAGAGCAGCATGCCCTGATGTTGGTGGATGCTGACTGGCAGACCAGAATTGAGGCAGGCCATTACTTTTTGTACTGTAAAGTCAAGGATGAAGATATAAAAATTTAGAGATCTACATTAGAAGTCTCACACATTGGCAAGTTATGGGATTTTGCAGGCAGGGAGGAAAACAGACTTAAAAGCTGCAATCCTAGTTATTTTTAGAGGGACAAATATTGCAGCTATGCTATAGATCTCTCCAGCTGTATTAAAGAACCAGCATTAGCCAAGTTTATTTGCCACAGAACTAGGAGGGAGAGTGCAGCAGCAAAAGGTAGCAGTCTCCTTCTGACCATAGCTAGAAAAATTCCACAAAGCCATACACGCTGCAGGGGCTGGTGTGGTTTTTTCTCTCCACCCCCTCATAAACCAAAGTTGTCACCATTGTGTGTATTAATGAAGACTGGCTGGAGTCCAGCCAAGCCTCCCAAACTCCATCCCAACTTCCCTTCCCAGTGCCCAGGCACAGGGAAGAGCCCACACACACTCAGTAGACTTGGGGCAGGTAGGTGCACACTGCTGAGCCCATCTCTCCATAGTTGCATTTTACCTCTCTCTGTTCACTGCAGATCTTGCACAACCAAAGAGGACGTTTCTGCGTTCCAGAGGTCTCTATTCCACACTTGGTGCAAACTTTCTGAAACAAGGAGAGAGAAAAAAAGAAAAATAAGGTGGCATTAGCAACTCCCCACAGCCATATAGCCCTTGGGAGAGAGAAGGTCGAGAAGCATCTGTCCCAACAGTTCTGTTTTGCTTTCCTTAAAAATCTAAATACGGCACAATTTTCTTACTTATCCCGGAGAACCACTGATCACAGGAAGCTGCTTCAGATCTATACGGACATGAGACAAAGGCAAATCTACAGCACAGTCTTTGACTGGAGGTTGAGAAGAGAACTGGACAGGGCAAATCAAACCCCATGACCAATAAGCATATTTCTAGAGCTTTTTTTTTTTTTTTTTTAATTCCTCTAAATCCTAAAACCCAATCGCTGTGGCACAGAAAGCAGCTGTAACCAAGTACAAAACAAGCACGAGTTTGTGCAAGACTGGAAATCCTCTCCTCCCTTCCCTCACATACGTAGTCTAAACCCCATGGCTTCCCCTCCATTTCAGCACGCACTCGGCAGCTATTGATTTGTGGCTGCTTAGGAAGCGGGCACAACCGTGCCTACATGCACATTTCCTGAGCAGAATGCTTGATAGCGCCGCATGGCCTCTATTGCTGCACAAGGGAACGTTCATGCCTCCGCTGGCATTACAAGCCATTTACAACCTGAATCACCTAATATTATATAATGAAGCTGATGTGTATCAGGCTTGGCTTACAGCTTGAATGAGAAATTGGATGAATTCTTTGATCCTCACAGAGCAAAAGCCACTCACAAGAGGGCCCTGGAGAGCAAAACCTTGCTTAGAGACACATGTGAATTTAATCTCCCCAGCTAAGGTTTTACTTATTCCCCCCCAGTCAGGCTGCTCCTCCTCTGAGCCAGAACGTCTGCATCCAGGGACAAAAGTCTCAGTGGCTCACTCAGCCCTCAGTGCCCACGCCTGGGGGAGAGTGGCAGAATGATGGCACCTGAGGCAATGGCTTCATTGCATGAATAAACACACCCAACTGTTTTGGTCAGTATAGTCCAGAGGCAGGTCTGTCCCTGACTCATGCTGCACAGAAAGTGGGAGGTGACACCAGCAGCCCCACAGAGGTTGATGGTCCTCTCCATCTCGCTGTTCCTGTCCTTGCCCTCATCCTCCTAAAGAAATAAGGAACAACCTCTTGGGTCTGCTACATCAATACTCAACATGGTGCTACCCAAGCCAACAGGGATTGCAGATGCAATTAGCAGACACCACCTGAACTACCCCAAATTCTCCCTCCCTCAAACCAAAATCTGAGAGAGTAACTCAGTCTTAAATACCCTCAAAGATCCCAATCCCCACACGTATAGCACATTCAAACACTCCCTCTAGTGGAAGTTTCCAAGCGATTTTATACCTAGCCTTAACTTTTGAAAGTTCCAGTATAAAATGGGGCTTTCCTCCTGCCCTTCTCTGCAGACTTGCTGGAAAATGGAGCATCACTTACAACCCCTCAGAAGAAGACATAAGAACCAAGGATATTAAACGCAGCCCCATTCCTCATTAAATACAGGATAAAGCACTTTCTTATACATCACCTTTTATACACGATACTGATACCCTCTGCATGGTAATTGACACCTTAGGCTTTGTCTAACTACTGCTATTGTTAACACATCTGAATTTGCATACATCTTTGTCTTGCCATAATGCATTTACTTCTAAGATAATAAAATCTAATATTAAAAACATTCTTCATAAAACAAAAAGTGGCACTTCGAAAATCCACCAGGCTACAAGAAATACAGAACCTCTATTCAGCAGAAGGGACTTGCTGAAGCATCGTTACCACAATTCCTGTTATTGAATTAAACAGACTGCAATGAGATGGTAACAGAACAATGCTACCAAGAAAAATATGCACTTTAAAAATCCATAATTCCCTGACAAGCCATGGGTTATTGCATACAACATTGCACGAGTGATGGATATCCCTGGTCGAGAGGGAACAAGCTTAAAGTCACAGTCCACTCTGTGTGCTCTGCCAAAGGGCTGACAGTTCCCCGAGCTCACTCAACAACATTAAAAAGCAGCAAGGGAAGAAGCTCAGGGCACCCAGTCAGCATTGCTCTGAGCTTGCACACAGCTGAAAAGTGCAGCCAACCTGAAAGCAGCTGCAAAATGCGCACTGGAAAAGTAGGGTCTCACTTTATCAGATATGAATCAACGCAGATATGAATCCTCCTGAACTGCCCAACAGACTTCAGACAAAAAGGGAATAACTACAGAAAAGCCACCCCTTCTCTGGGGTTTCCTGGTCAGAGCCCTCCCGGAGCCTCGGCCTCACGCAGCCTCACTAGCTGGAGTGTTTACTACCTGCAACTGCAATTGGACGGGGCAGGGAAGTGTCTGCGCCAGCTTTTGCCTCCTCATTAGTGTACAAGGCTCACGGGAAGGAGGTTAGAAAGTGCTGCGGCAATGTGACCTAGCTGGCTTCGGACAAGGTGAGAGCAGAATCGGCAAGGGAAGAAGGCAAGAATACAGCACATCCTGTTATTCTGCTTGCTTGAAATTCAGGAAACAGCTAGCCGTCTCCTGTCTGCCATCCAGCCCTTTATTCTCCACAGACATGTGTGCACAGCGCCCATGCTCCTCTGCAAGAGCTGCCCTGTAACTCCCATTTAAACCAGACCTTTCACTTCCCAGTAGCTTACTGCTGCTTCCTTCCCCACCCCTTCCTAAAAAGCTACTTTATTGCTGGCTTAGGGACCCAGGGGTTCAAAGATTTGCATTTACTTTCCCAGTCACTGCCTTACAAGCAATCCTCTGCATAACCCCTACCTCAATCAAGCTACTTCTGCAAATTGGATCCAGTGGAGAAACTCGCTTGACAGCAAAGGCAGCACAGCTCACAGCAGTTCCCTGCCCAGCGAGCACGTATGGAGGGATGCTGGGACCTCATTTCTAACTGCAAGGGGCACCCCACCTCCCTTCCCTCCCTTACAAGAGCTCTAAGCCCAGCAACGCTGCAGCCAACAGTGGACCAGTGCAGGCCTAGCCCAGCAGCCTGCACTGCACAAGAACTGCATCCACAAACTCCATCAGAGCCAGCATGAAAGGTTCTCTGTCGTGGCCTGCATGGCTGTTTAACCAGAAAGGTACCAACATGCACCACTCCACGGTAAAGGAGCAGGTTTTTCTAGGCACTGTCCTGTGGGCTCCATGGGACAGGGTGGGTGACATGGACAAATGTCTTCTTGGCTCCAGTATGCACCAGGGGCAGAGTAAGCACAGGCTGCTCCCTTCCACCCTACCACCAGCAAGTCAGAAACACTTCTGCACCCAGCAGGTACCCTCAACTCTCCCCAGGCAACATGCTGAGGCAAAGCCACTTACAGAGGTATCTCCCCAGGGAAAGATGGGCTTCAAGTGCAGGAAAAACAGCCTCCCAGCAGAGGGAGGATAAAGTGGTTGCCTTGGAGATCATCAGCTCCACAGCAATACAGATTAACCCCTTGGCTGCAGAGTCTAGACAAGCAACAGGGCACTGGCAGAACAGCAGTCTCCCTGCAAACTGATGCTGCCTTTCGAACAGCACCCGTGCAGTCCTGCCAACAACATACCCAAACACGGGCATTGATGCACAGGCTAACTTATGTATCAGCGTTGGAAACCTCACGCTGGTTTGTGAGCTTGACTTGAAGATGGACTAAGTCCTCTGAAGAGACATGTTACTGGAAGGTCCAAGGGCAGACATTGAAGTAAACAACAGTAAAGCACACAGACCCTTTTATGAGTTGCCTCTGATGTCCATACATTCCTGCCCCTTCTCTCACTCTGCAACCCCAGAGAAGGAGGTGCAGGGGAGGCTGATGCACCCCATCTCAGCATTAAGTGCAGTTTAAGCATTTCAGGATCCAGAAGAATAAGATAACCGGGGTGCAAGAGAAAACCTGGTGGTTTGACAGCACTGACCTCAACAAGTGGGGCTAAGATAAGTTAACTCTGCAGAGCTATCTAGCTTCTGAGAGGCCTAGTGGCCTTTTCTAGACAGATTTGCTACAAGGAACAGGCCAAACCTGTGTGACCAAACCCACCTTTTTGCAATCCTGACAAAAGACCGATGCACTGCCCAGCAGCCCAAGAAGTTCACTGCAGAGCAGACACTGGGAGAGGCCGTTGCCCATCGCGTTCTTTCTCATGTTTTCCAGCCGCTCCACCAGGCGCCTGCAGGGAACAAGGCAGAGCAGAGGTCACAGCACTCACCTTGGAACTGAAGCACATGGTACTGAGGCATGCCGAAAACCTGCAGGTGTGTGCTCCAGACTCAGCCTATCTTTGCTGCTTCTGTGCAGTTCTGGGCCCCTTGCTGGGACCATATGTACTTTCACTTCAGTCTCTGCATTCAGTATTTCCCATCAGGTGGCTCTTGGACTTAAGGGGATACAAACCTCTGTAAATCCATCTATTGACGCTCACCAAGCCCAAAATAATCAAAATTGCGAATGCCACTGACAGGCCTGACTCAGCTAGTGGGAGCAGCGCAGACAGCTCACAACAGGGGCTTGGTCCCAGCACCCTTTAGGAGCTCAGTGTCATAGGGCCACACAGTCTCAGCACAACAATTTCCTGCCTGTAGAGCAGGAAAAGCATTTAGTGCTCGTATCAGGGCAAGTCAGACAGCACTGGGAAAGGGCAGAGGAGTTAGACCTGCCAAGCCCTGCTCCATTCTTACATACGCTCCCTGAAAGCAGCGCTGCAGGCACATCACTCGCCCACATCCCATTAGAAGCAGAAAGGCCAGACTAAAGCCATCAGAACAAAATGAGCCCGGCTGCAG